CTGTTACCCTTAGCTGTTCAAGTTATTCCTGAAATAAGTAGCAGCTCCTGTCAAATTTATATCAAGGCTTAAAGAAGAAATATTTACTTATACTCTTATAAAAGATAAGAGTAAATAATATATAGTCATCGTATTTGAGCAGTAAAATAAGAGGGAAGTTGGAGGAAAAGTAAAAAAAAAAAACAATTCTAAAATATTGGTATTTAAAACTTTCAAAAGCACTTGGAGCCTTTTTAACTAACTGCCATCAGGAGCAATAATGTAGTTCTAGAGCTCAACCACACAAAGGAAAACCAAATTGTTGGTGCTAAAGCCAGTTAATTTCTGCAGCTACATAGACACAAACGGTAGAGAAGGAACTTGGTAAAAACCACCAAGTAACTGCTTTAGATGCTTGAACCATAAGCTTAAGAAAATGTGTTTGAAGTTTCCATCTGAGGTTTGGTTGTTTTTCCCACTGTCTTGTCTTTCATATTTCTATGGTGAGCTGGAAGTGAAACAAAACATTAAAATCGTGAATTGAAATTGGTTATTGGTACCAAAATTTAGTTTGATGATTGTATTCTGAACTTTTTGTGATTTTGACAAACGTCAGGTCAACCTTGTTTGCTGTTAATATCTAGGAAGTGGGGTTAGTGATGCTAATGTACCAAAATAAGCTGAAATCTGAGGAATGTCTAATATCTAAAATCTAGGCCATGAAAAATAATAGTTATGCCCAAGGTGTGTTACAACCAGTCATATTGAGTTTCTGTTAGTGATTTGTGTGTGTGTGTGTGTGTGTGTGTGTGTGTGTGCATGTGCGTGTGTGTGTGTTTGAGACCCAATAACTTCCCTCAGTATCTCTCCCTGGTCTCCCTACCCGTCTCTCATTTGCTCAGTAACTCCCATTTAGCAATCCAGCAATCAAACTTCCAATCATAAGGACTTCTTGATTTTTCTCAGTTAGTGTCAGATTCTCTACTGTTGCCATCAGCCTGTTTTATTGGTTTGCTCAGTTCAGTTACCTTTAAACTGGGAACATCACCTCCAATGCTCATCTTTGCATTTGGGTCCTCAACATTGCCAAAAAGATGTACCTAATAACAGGTCCAGTGAGTGTTTAAAACATGTTTAAATGGCAACTTTAATGGTTATAAAATGTATATATAACACACGAGGAATTTATGTATGGTGGTATCAAACAGAATTTTTCCTGTGTTATAAGTTTAAGCAGATGTTGGTGGAATGAGACTGACACCTCTGTAAAATAAACATGAAATCTGTCCAGTGGAGACCGTCAAAGAATTTCCATCAAAGGCTGAAACAACCAGATTTAAAGGAATATCCATGAGTTTGATGCATAATGTGACCATGTCGCTGCAAGCTGCTCATGTTATGTCCTCATGTGTTATTCTACTCGTATATATCTGTTAGCAGGCTGATAATTATCTTTTATAAATTACATCAATGCAATATTTGCATAAGAGCTTCCCTTGATCCATTTCTTTTCTGAAAGTCACTGACCTTATTAGCATATAAATATTGTTTCATCAAACAGTTTCAGATAACTTTATCTGTTATTTATTCTGTAGAGAACACAAGAGTCTGACATACATATCTATTATTTAAAATGTGGATGGATTCTTTTTTGTCTTGAATTTTAAAATTTGTTTGCCAAATGGAAAATCCCCCTGAATGCATTCTGATACCCTGAAATACAAGAAGTTGTGTATTCACTTTAAATTTAAATATCCCTGCTATTGTATTTGGCTGCTTACAGTATGAACCATCATTCTACGACATTAAATTGTTTACTTTTCCCTGGATGTAAATGTCTATTTGAAGGTGTCTATCAAATTATCAAATTATTTGCAACCTTATACCTCATGTCATTTAAAGCATTATTGCATTCTAAAATAAATCGGAGTACTACTACTTCCTATTTTGCCATCATTAATTTTATCTTAGGCAACTAAAATATTTGTATCATCTTTTGTCGTCACACAGTAAGCCTATTTTTCCATCCCATAAAGGTAAATATTAGAAATGGAAGTGATGTGGTCCTGGCTTGTCCAAATTTATTTCTGTGTGACGGTTCCTCTTGTAGGAGACGAATGGTCTTGTTCCAGGAAAGCCCCAAATCCATTAGAATAGCAGGCAATGCCACACTGAGTTAGGTTCATACCTAAGTTTGTGCCTTTTGTTTTCCACAGGAAAAAAGAAATCACAACCTGTACTACAAGTATTATGTATTATTATTCAGTAAGAAGCCACATCCTGGTACATGGTAATATTCTCTCTCCCTCACGTTTCCTGTAAGACTTATTTTTTGGGCTCTTGTTGGACCATCACTAATCTTTAATTTCCTCTGAATAAACCATTGTTTTTGTTTAGGGTGTGCTCAGACGCGCTACAATGTTAAAATCCCTTATATTCAGCTCTGCGACTTGTGAGTTGAGAATTTCATCCTGTTCCAGAAAAACCCTGATTTCACCCGAAGAAAAATGTTGGTGTTTTTTTATTTTTTTATTTTTTTTAATGCCAAACCTACCTTGATCCACTATGCCACAACAGTTCAAATTTGGTTCATCAGATGTTAGGCTTTCTTCCATAAGGCTAAAGAGTTCTTTTTCTTTTTTTTTTTTAAACCGAGGCTTGGATAGCTTATTTGAGACCAAAGGCCTCAGTCTTTCAAACTTACTGTGGAAATATTCATAACCCATTAAACACTCTTATAGAAAAAAACAAAAACCATAGCCAAGAGAGAAGTGATGAGCTGAGCAGGAGTGCTGTGAATGTTAATGTTTGGAAGAGTGGCCAACACAGATTTCCTCTGCCTCCATTACAACTCTAAAAGGATGCAGAAAGTCAGTGGTATCATTTTCTACTCCTGCTGTTGGCTGGTTGACCTGATTGAAATTTAACCAGAGAAATTGAGCTCAATGGGAGAAATCTCAGATGGAACAGTGAAGGGAGATGAGAATCGAGTGGACTTGCATAGGAATGCAATAGCCAGGCTAAATGGTTTATGACTGACATTTTTTTTTACACTAAACAAGAGTTTAAATAGTTTCTTACTTTATTTTCTTACGTTTTTACTAGGGATATGTCTATGATAAAATAAAATAAAAATCCTGTCCAAAATAAGAAAAATTGATGGCACACAATTCATCTTTAAAAAAAAAAAAAAAGACTTTTTTACACTTTGGGAAAAGTGTTTGCATTAAAAGATGAAACTAATTTTAGCCTGGATGACCAACCAAAGCTTCAAACTGTCTGTGGGATCCTTACTATTGCTATCATTTCATAAAAGCAACAGACTTCCTAGTGGGCTGGAACTATTTTTTCCACTTCTTTTTCATGCTTTCATTTTCTTTTTTTGAACTTTTTACCCAACAAAAGAAAATCAATTTCTACTCTAATCTGAACTCAACTTTAGTCCCAGCAGGGAGACACTCATAAAGGTTTTCTCATCTTAACGGAACCCATTCAGAAGCGGAGTTGATAAAAACGTGGTGGCCACACGAGAGACAGAAAGCAAGAGATGGACTGCGTGTCCAATATTAATCAGCGAGATGGCTGGAAACTCTTGAAAGGATCGGGTTTGATACATGCTGGCGGGACATCTGTCCCACTCAGTTTAATAAACTTAAAACTCTTTGGGAATAAAGTCACTGCTTCAGAAAGTTTAAGAAACTAAATCCTTAAAACGATAGAATGAAGTTTGTATAGTCTCATTTTCTTTATCTTAAACGTGCAATTACCAAGGGAGACAATCAAAACTTACAGTAAACGGAGGAGAAATTGCTAATCTACCTCAGACATGTTGGTGTATAGTAGATATAAACGTGACTGAATCTGTGGTCAATATAGTAATACATATAGTGTAACAATATATAGAACAAACATGGTGTGTAATAATTTATTAATCTGAAAATGAGCTACATATTTACATTCCTTATCACTTCACAAAGTCTTGAGGTGACTGAATTAGCCAATGACATGCCATCATGCAGGTGCAGGAAATAAACACGTCTATGATGGTCTGTTGACTTGCCTGACAACTGATGGCACAACTGTCCCTACCTTTTATTCTCTTGTTGACACTGACACAGTTCGACACATTTAATCTTTTGCTGCTTGACAACTGTGACATTTTAGCTTTTTTATGAGAAGTAGGAAAAAAAGGTGCATTTTGTACTACAAAGATGAAAACGTTTGCTAAGACATTTCAAAATGTATTTTTAAATGAGAATATTAAAACAGTTTAGTCTAATTACAGTAGTAGTTTATAAATCAGCACTTATTTTAAATAATTTCCAATATTTTTTTTTCTTCATTAGATTTAAAAGAGGCCAAATTAATTTATGGAACTTTAATTTATTTGGCTATTCAAATAATTTATTTCTCTTGTTGCTAATTATAATACACTGAATCTTCATTATAGCCTCAAACAACTGTGGTCTCAGCCGGTCAGAATGCATCAGAATAGGAGAAGAAAATTATTGAATGTTTGTTTTGTCGATTTGTCTGTCCTTTGCTGTGGTGTTGCAAAAATCCTTTAGATACTACATACAGGCCACAAAATTAGAGGAGCAGTGTTATGTGTTTTCCAGACACAGTGCCATTTTATAGTGCAATCAAGTACATTGGTAGAATATTGCTGTATAGACCAAGCATTACTTAAATTAAATTAGACTTCTCAATTTAACACCTTGAAATTGGGTCTCTGTCTCTTTAAAAAGCTCCTGCTTGTTCTAAATGGTAGTCAGTTTTTCCTTCTGAATGACTGGTACAATGTAGCCTCACAACGTTTCCCTTCTACCTGAAACCTTCAGCTGTTTGGAGACACACATAGAGAAACAGAACCACAAAACCAGCAAAACTCTTTAGTTTAGCTTAGTCAAAACCAAGCCTGTTCAATTTGCCAGACTTACTTTTGTTTCATTTTTCTTTGCTACATTCATGAAAGTTTTACATGAAGTTTTTTATTTGTTCTCTACACCTCTTTTGCTCAGGTTCCAGACTGATCTAAAGTGGGAAATAACAGAAACTTGTAATGACCCAGAGCCAGACAAACCATCTTCTCCCTCCTGCCGTAGAGGAACTTTTAGGCTGGTTCATCGAAAGGTGACATAAGAAGATCTGGACCCCAGTGAGCCGCTCTGCTTCTTACGCTAAGGTCATTTTCAGGTACTTTAAAATTAACCTGCCAGGTGGTTCAGAAAAGGAGGTGCTTTATCCTTCAATTTTAGGCTTACCAGACAGTTAGTGTCTGATTTTTAATAAAATAATAAACTATTACTAGCAAATATTTTTGAACAATTTACAAATAAACTTCCAGTGTAAATTGAAAAAAATATTTTTCAATGTTTTCTTTTTTGGGTTTTTAAGGGGAAATAATCCTTAATGTAATTCATAATGAGCATAATTACATTCTCGATTCCATGTAATTAGTTTGCTTAATTGTAAATAAATCCTAAATGTGGCAATGATGCAGTTTCATTAAATGTGTGATTAAAACAAGATGGAGAATCCATCATTCAGAAAGATTTTGGATTGAATTTATGGTAAAAAGTTAGTTTGAATAAGACTGTATAAAATATGAATTAATTCAGTTCCAATTACCAGTGCGTCATCATTTCTTATTAAGGGTGTTTTCTCCACAAATGTATGTGAGCTTGGATCGAAGTAAATCTACTAGAAACCTCAAAGCCAAAAGTCAAAGCCACAAGTTTGAGTCTACAGTATATATCCTTTTTCAGTTCTACAGTCGTTTACTTAAAGATGCAATTAATAAAACATACTTATGGACTCTATCTAGTGGGAATTTCTTTACCATGACAAATAACTTCCCAAGAGCTTCCTTCATTTGGTATTTTATAAGAGACTGGCTAAATTTATATTTTGACGTTGATAATAAGATGCGGCGCTTTACTTTGACTTCATATCAAACTTTAAACTTGTGGCATAAATCCACTGAGGCCTAATTTGGCAAATTGTGCAGTAAGAAGATTTCTTTCCTTCAGGCGGCAAGAAGAAATGTGAGTATTTGAATAATGTGAGTTCTCATTTTCGTTTTGGCAAATCCCAAAAACAGTCATTTCAATAATTTAATTGAAAAAGGCTTTTTTTTTTCTTCATTTTTAGACTCAGTTTGTCATGATGGCACATGAAAACTGTTGGAGCTTCTTTATATTTTTAATCACCAATGTTTGCACAAATGCATTCTCACTGGCATACTTCATGTAATGTGCTCCAGTGACATTTAGTTTAGACAAAATCTAGATGTCTGATACAAAAATATGAAAACATCTAAAACATAGCTAATAATAATAAAATGGAAATTCTGGTTTATATTTGTATGTTTACATTTGATGGTGACATAAGATATATGTCTAGGTATTTGTTTTAAATGTACTCTGCGAATATATTACCTTTCTGATTTATTTTTCTACATTTTATGTATTTGAAAAAAACTGTTTAGAGTATCTTACAGTTTTAATGTGTTTAATTTAAGCACAAAGTAAACTATAACCCCTGGTTTATGGACTTAAGCTTTTTACTTTGTTTAGCTATTTTTATATGTATATATTTCAACATTCTAGCATCAATAATCATAATGGGGAAAATATGGAAATACGTTTTGACATTCAGACTGTCAAAAATTTGCATTGCATTGATGACAGATGTCAGTGATTCACCTAATTTTAAAGCAATGCAATAGGAATCCATTCAGAGCCTTTTGTGTAATATTATCTTGGGAGACAAAAACAATTTTTCAAAAAAA